CAAGAGTGTTGCTGTATACCAAGGGGTAAGTCACTCAGCACATTGTGCCTGAATTATATTCTACACTGCTTGGGCACATCCATCGGCACATTTCCGGCATACCTTCGGCACAATTTCTTAGGCATTAGATTGTTGTAAATAAAATGGGAGCACTGCTGGACAGCTGTCATTGAAGTTGTTCAGAACATTACGTGCTGTTTGACTGTATGTTCAGGAACATCTTCTAATTTAATATATCAGAGGAACTCAGACCAGCAGATCACTTATAGATCTAAATATTAAATGTAGGTTCTAGAGTCAGACCTCATTAGTACCTTTAATTCAAATAATGCTGCAAATCACACAAAACATACCAAAGAAGTCTATTCATCACCCTCTATAATCGGTCTCTAGCAATGCTCCCCACCGGTTCCAACTCTTTCCGGCCGAAAGGCTAGATTTCTGGTCTGCCTTTTAGGGCATTATAAAACACTAAAACACAGGACTTTTATTACCCTATGGATCACAAAACACCGAAAGTTCACACACCTACCACTTCCCGCGTCATCCTTAATCCGATTTATCCTTGCGATTTCAAACCCAAACATTCAAGGTGTCAGAAATACCGGGTTGCCGGGATGGGTATTTTACAAACAATCGCAGCTTGCTCTATGACCGGCACAATCGGCATACTTGCGGCATACTGACAAAAAAGATGACCCAAGATTGGTGTGCGGAGTGACCTACCCCTTGCTGTATACAGTGTTTCCTCGCTAATCCGACACTCTTTAATCCGGCAAACTTACTCTCGATAATCTGACGGTACTGTATTAAAATGTACGTCATTTAAGATGGATCGCCAGTGTGAAAACTAATGCCTAGTAGGCTAAAACAAACGAATAGATCTACACGCTATTTTGAGGCTGCTCATTTTTGAGTCAAAAACGCCTCAGTCCAGCCAAAAGGGAAGTTTCTCAAAAATGAGTAAACATGCGCTTACTCAAATTTGAGTAAACGTGCCTATGGAGGAAACTGGGTAACGGTTACTCAGATGATGACGTTTATCAACTGAGTAAACCTTACCCATTTTGATAGAAACGAATGAATGCCTCATGAATGCTTTATATATAAATTATTTCATCCAGGAAGAATATATAAAAAAAAAAGCATTATGAAATGATAATTAAGTGTTATTTGATATCAACACCAACTAGCTGCTTATAGATTACGCCATCCAAGCTATTACCAACTGGTGAAAACTTACGATTTTAAATTGCCTCACACTGGACTAGCCTACACGGATAGAAATCTCCTTATACCTTTTGGCAAATTTCTATTGCTGATTATTCATAAAATGTATAAGTCAACTAATAAGCAGACGCCTTGCAAAAAGTTTATGAAGATCATGTGTAAAATGAAATGTATAAGCGGTCACACATACCTTTTATGCATTCTTATAGGACCTATATGGTTTGTCTTATGGAATGTATAAGGCTGATGTTTGGCAAAAATGTATAAGTGAAACACATTAATGAAATAATTGATTTTCGTTTCGTGTATCGGTCCCAAGTACATCCATTAACGTACCAGAGCAGAGCCAAAAAGTTGAGCACGTTTCTTCGGGACCTTCTGGTCTTGGAGTTACCTTGATGCTATTACGTAGCTGCATCATTTTCACTGCTTCACTTCTAAAAACTAATTTTAGACTCACTGCCCAGAAGCGCGCCATTTTGAACTTAGGAAAAATTGATATCAGAACAATTTAGTCAGAATCTGAGTAGACTCTACTGATCGGAGCAAAACCAGTTTACTCATTTTTTGACAACTCCATACAGCATGCAAAAATGAGTGCGATCTACCCAGTCACTGAATAACCTCAAAATAGCGTGTATGACACAGGTCGAAAGATAAAAGGTCGAAGGATAAAACGTCAAATGAACTAAAGGTCTTTGGGGGAAACCATTAAATGGGCAAGATGTTACATTGAACTTGGAGGTACAAAAGGTCGAATGGACAAAAAGTCAAATTGAACTCAGGACAAAAGGTCGAATTGAACTTAGAGGGGCAAACGGACAAAAGCTCGAATGGACAAATGGCCGAATGGAACTTAGAGGGAACTTAGAACATGTATCTTAACATATAGGACAACAGTTAGAATGGACAAATGGTCGAAATGGACAAAAAGTCGAAGTTCAAAGCAGTAAAATTCAATTTTGCGATTGGCAAATTGACAAAATATTGTTAAAAAAAATTTCGCTCAGAAGTTAAAAGAACATTAATAAAAATATTATGCAAATACTCGCAATGAACTACTTATGATTCGAAGAAGGAATATATTCTAGAGAATGTCAGTTATTTGTCTCTTAAATAGCAATTTCACACACAGTAACTTTTTGTTATCTTAATATTCCAAAGAACTGCACAAGCTTTAAAAAAGAAAAAAAAAACATATTTGATAGTTAGCCACCTCCAACAATTTAACCAGTTTATTCATTTTGACCTTTTGTCCATTTCGACCATTTGTCCATTTCAACCTTTTGTCCGTTCGACCAGTCCATTCAACATTTTTTCCCTCTAAGTTCAATACGACATTTTGTCCATTCAACCCTTTTGTCCCTTCATTTGACCTTTAGATCTTTTGGTACAGGTATCGAAAGCTCTCAATTAATAACTGTGGAAGTGCTAGAACACTAAGATGAGAGCACGCAATAAGCTAATATGCGATAAGCAATAAGCTTGAAATGCAAAGATGAAGAAAGTGTTTTCATTTCGAAGGGTTTGACAGCGTCGAATTAAAAATTTCCCCCCGCTAGTCCGACCATGATTTTTATCGGATTAGCTAGGAGGAGCTGTAGTGTTTAGACCAGTGTTGGCAAAATCAGAAATCAATTGATATTTTTCCGCTCTCATGCGCTCGCAATATCACGCGTGACATTGGAACAAAATATCATGCTTGATATTGATTTTACAAGCTCCCTTGATATTGCGAGACTATTCACAACGTGCAAAAATCAAGCTAAGAGTTGACTCGACACAAAAATGATTCCATTGCACATCCATTTCTTAGAAAGAGAAAGCATAGTTTGCCATGTCTTTTTAATCTTCACCGATGGCAGACGCGAAGAGACTGCTGCAAGCCGTTATGGAAGTTTCGGTTGCATTCGGGAGTAAAGCAAAAATCATTAAAACTCAATCTCACCACAGTTTGGTGAGATTTGCAGCTGGTGAGTTTTGTTAGCTTGATATTCCGAGCTGCGATGTCACAGCTTGCAAAATCAACCGCAGTTGTTTGCTTGTTGATTTTTGACTACGAAAATCAAGCGTGATCATGGGCGTTGGTGAGATTTGATTTTTTGATATTTTCCCAACACTGGTTTAGACATAGAATTCGATCCCCTAATTGATTCTCATTTTTTATTTGTAGGTTTTTTTTTAAGATATTGACCATTATATAGATCAAGAGATTTCAGTGCAAAGTTATTCTGTAACTAAATCTTATAATGGAAAGGGATGTTACACCACTTTCGTGGGCCAGAGAAATGCAAGTCTATGGGCTATCAGAATAATGGAAACAAATCCAAGCCAGTTGGAACTTAACTGGCTCAAGTTCACCCAAGTACAATATTTCAGTTCCTAGAGGTGCTGCTAGGAAGTTAGCCGGTGTGCTGAACAAATCCTTGATAATGATAACCAGTCGGGATCAGTGCGTTGACTACATGTAGAACGTTGGGTAAATGTGGAGAATAGGCTACAATTGCAACGAGAAAGAACACCAACTGTAGAATCCTACAGAGTACAGCCGGCGCCGGTGGTGTAGTGGTAAGCGTGACTGCTTTCTAACACCCCAATGGGTCTGGGTTAAATCCCAGCCGAGGTCGGTGGGATTTTTCTGAGGCATAAAAATCGCTGGTCACGTCTTCCTTTCGGAAGGGAAGTAAAGCCGTTGGTCCCGGCCCATGTGTGTTGAATGGGTGCGATATCCTACGCAGGTGTGGAAGCTGCCTTCCTGCACATTCGATTGCCGTCAATGGATGGCAATCGATGTCCGTCGGTGATTGGCACTAGATTGCGGAACAGAGACCGACGTTAAATAAAGGAAAGAAGAAGAATCCTACAGAGAGCTGTTAAACAGCTTAATGTTCTGCGTTCCGCTGGACATCTGTTTTCCAGAAGGATATCTGTACCAACAGAAACACACTGGCAAAGTTTGAGAAGAATCGTCAGTTACTTGATGGAAAACGCCAATGCAGTATTGAAGTTCAAACGCCACGACGACCATCCGTTGGTTGTATTTTCTATAAAATAGCAAATGTTGTAATTGAACAAATATTTGATTGTTCCATTGAAGCATTTTTAATACCCAATAGAACGTATTAAATCCCATATATACAACATGTAGTTTTAGTTATAGCAATAGTTTTCACAACTTTCTTTATTTTTTGTTCTTTGTTATTTTGAGAAAGAAGAATATGGGTTGACAAATAAAATGTTTGCGGTTTGTGTAGTCACCATTACCCAAGTGATGGCAAATTAAATGGAAGTTGAGGTCAGACACATAATTCCAATAGGCACGAAACTATAAAATTCGGGATTTGTTGTATTCATCTGAACAACTTTTCCAAAGACAGCAACCTTCTATGTAGCAGAGCAGTTAGAGCAAGCAATCAGAAGTCAAATGGTACATGAGCGCCAACAGTTATACATACTCCCATCTTGCATCCGAATACCTTAACTAAATACAGAAACCTGCTTTCTGGTCGTACTGTCTTATTAAAACATGAAATTTTATGCAAATGGCACACTGAGCTTGACCATCTAATAGGCCTTACGCATTCTGAATCGCTTTTTGTTTTCGATCCGAACTTTGATCGATTTTCAATAGTTAACCATTGATAAACAACTATCATCTTTATACCAAACAAATATTACATTCAATTTGAATAAAATGGTGTATTCAAAATTGAATTTCATTCATAAATGAACATGTTATATGCGTTCAAAATCTGACACTATTTCGTCACACCATTTTTTTTTTATTTCTACGCCAGAATAGTCTACAAAGACGTAGTCATTTTAAGTTAAAAAAATGAACTAAAGTTGAAAAGACGCTTCTGTGTCACTTGAAAATTCATACATGTGAACCACACAAATTCAAGAAATAAAGATCATTTAAAGTCAAGTCCTACGTCAAAACTTTAAATTCAGTTTTGTGATTTCAACCTTTTGTCCTTTGGAACGTATGTCTTTCGACCTTTTGTAATAGATTCCAAACAAACAAGACATCAGCAAAAATAAAAATAAATAAAATTCAATGCACACTTTGTTTTTGCAGAGCATAGCAGAATTTTCTTCCTTCAGTAGACCTTTTACAGCTGCGGCAGAACTCTACGGTAGCTGACATGGGATGAGAATTTTTGTTTAGATTCACAATATCTAGACTTCGAATTTCGATTTTGAATGTCATTCCTTTCATGTGATTCTTGTGATTCAAAATCCTAGTCATTGAAATAGTCATGCATTTAAATGTTGTGTTACATCAAACACTTCCAATTTATGATTCATCAAATCAAATTATTCTATATTTCCGAGGATTCAAAATCCACCAATCAAATGTTGCGATTCCATTGACCAATCCAACACCAAGGAACGGTACATCCCCAACTTCTTCCTTCCCAGGTCAACTTCTGTGGTGTTTAAATAAACATACACAACCACACTCACCAGCACCAGTGAACTGACTTTTCCTGAGCCCATCATTCGTGCAGGTAAAATCATAACAGCAACTAAACAAACCAAATAACCCCACGGTCGGCCGTCAATGGTCGCAAGTAGCATAGCGACTCGGCAGCAATAACGTTGAAAAAACGCTTAAACTTAACATAACAAAATCATAAGTATGTAGCATTCTGCACCGTAATCATATGTGCATACATTATTATTAGGTACTCCCCGCAGCTTTTTTTTTGCTACGTTCGTTCAGTTTCTTCAGCTCGTTTTACAATCTTCCTCTCGTCCCAGTCACCACCCTAGCCAGCCCCCATGGTCAGTGGTTTGATCGTGTCTTTTTACATCTTTTTACATATTTTATTTGACTCCCAAACACGGTACGGGGGACGAGTGGACGAAGGGAATGCGATTCCCAATGGGTTTTGCACACCCTTGAATGGTTTTTATGTGCAGCAGCAGCAGTGACTTCTAGCAGGAGCAGCAGCAGCAGATTGGTAGATTGGTAGCAGTAGCAAAACATGAATTTGAATATAATAACATCATTGTTTATGCGCAAATGGCAATCGCCGTGAGCGCGCAGGTTCGTTTCCGCTATAATTTTTTCGGCAGTCGCTATATTTTGCGCTCAATTAAATTCCCTTCCATTTTATTTTTTTTTTTTTTGCGCCGTCCGCGGATATCCAAGACCTCTGGGTTCGAATTTGTTTATGCTAATATTTCCGACAGTCAACTCCCTTTTGGTCCCTCATCGAAGGACTCCTCGCAGTCGAACTCACACCGAACCTGATGACAAGGCTGTTGCCGCTCCTGCTGCTGTTCTGGCCCTGGTTCTCGCTGTTCCCCATTGTAATCACTGCTGTCACGAAGACGATGATTGGGGGGATGATGGTGAAGGTGATGGTGATTGTGACTGTAGCGTTCCTGCAGCATCCGCCGAATCGCTACCCTTAGGCACTAGTCCAGCGACGATGGGCTGCCGGGGCCGCCCATGATGTATGACCCAGGGCTGTGGGACACGTACCCATCGAGATCGAGCGAACCTTCGCCCTTGTCCGAGTCGAGGATTTTACCCTCCTGCTTCATCATCATCCGGCGCCATTTTGCGCGTGCGTTCTGGAACCAGACCTGGAATGATGGAAAGGGAAAAAAAGGGAAGAAACCGGAATAAACAAAGACGGTTTTCAGCGAGAGTGTTCCACTGTGGGGGTGTGAAGGAAAGTGTCGCTCTGTGTGGGTGGTAGGAATGGTTTGAGGAGGGATTTTTTTCCCTTATGGTTCGTTTCCTACTTCAAGGATGGTGCTCGTTAGCACAGGATGAGCTATTTCTTTGGAAGAGGAGATTTTCTTTGTTTCCTGTGGCAGGAGATTGATTGAGAAAATAGATCCGGCCATTTGTCTTGCAGGCATACAGCAATTTGAATAATTGCAATTTGTGATTTTTCTGATGTGAAACTGTAGCATTTCGGCTAATTCTTACCTGCAGCACCCGCTTGGGCAGTCCCGTCTTCTGCGAAAGCTGTTTCAGATCCTTCGCGTCCGGATTGTGGTTGATAGCAAAGTAGGACTTCATCGTCCTCAGCTGGTGGTGCTTGAAGGACGTTCGCATCCGTTTGGCTCGCGACGACGATCCAAGGCCTCGGCTGAAGCCCAAGTCTAGGTACTCGGTGTTCAAATCTGCAAATGGACACGGGAAGCAAGATGGAAACATTTTGTAGTAATTAATCTGGAATGGTGAAAAAATGTCTTTGGTGGTCTGGGTAAAAGCAAGGTTGCGCTCTGAGCACACGTCCGAGGACGGTGTGAACGCAGTCGTTGTCATTTTGGCTGGTGGTTAATGAACTTCTGCCGAGTTTCGAGGCGAAAAATTAAACCACAAAACATGACTCCGTTCGGTATGACATACAACTGGTCGGACCCCGGAGGAATCATCCGAAAGTACTTTGGCTCGAACCTGGTAATAATCGTAAAAGTAATAAGATGTCTTCATTGCTCCAAACATAAGAGCGACCGCTGTGGGGCTTTGGGTTTTACGACCGCGAATGTCGCTGTCCGTTCGTTGGAAGCGCAGTTTAAGTGCCAACAGAGATTTGGCTTCGAGGAATCGCACACTCCGACACGTACCGGGAAAGCTCTCCCTCTTATCGTCGTATGAAGAAGAAGATTCTGATGGAGAAGAAGCAGTGAAGGGTGATGATGATCTTGAAGGTCGCAAGAGTTAAATTTATGATTCCCTTGTCGCCGTGATGCTTGGCCCTGGCGGGAGAGAGTCAAGTGTGGGTAATAAACATTTGGCGCTGGAGGAGGTTACTTTTTCGGGATTCTGAGAAATGAGCAGCTCCACAGGTGCAATTGCAACAAGCTTTTTTAAATATTTAAAATGAGAATTCGTTACCTGACTGTAGAAAATGACACGTTGGAGCAAAATATAGAACGGCCGTTAAATCTTCGAAAGATCATTCATTTCAATAATTTGAACTTTTGAATGTTAAAATCATGCATCCATAAGTATGATTACGAATTATTTAATTTGATTAAGAAACCAATTTTAGAAGGAATATATTATACTTATACTTATATTATACAGAGTGTGGAGTGCATGAAAATCTGACTGTTTTACCATCTGTTATTATATCATATCTATAGAAGAAACCCTCGTTGAGGTGTCACATGATTGCCAATTTAAAATCGTTAGTTTCCACCGGTTGGTATTACTCTTAGATCTATAACGTGGTTGACACGGCTGATAGCTGTTTCCAGAAGTGCATAATTGAGCATGATCAGTTCTGCAATTGAAAACTCAGCTAAATCATAAAAACTATGTTGGTTTTTATACTTTCATCCAGTGCTGGTAAAATCAGAAATCAATTGATATTTTTCCGCTCTCATGCGCTCGCAATATTACGCGTGACAATGGAACAAAATATCATGCTTGATATTGATTTTACAAGCTCCTTTGATACTGCGAGACTATTCACAACGTGCAAAAATCAAGCTGAGAGTTGACTCGACACAAAAATGATTCCGTTGCACATCGTTTTCTTAGAAGGAGAAAGCATAGTTTGCTATCTCTTTTTAATCTTCACCGATGGCAGACGCGAAGGGACTGCTGCCAGCCGTTATGGAAGTTTCGGTTGCATTCGGGTGTAAAGCAAAAATCATTAAACTCAATCTCACCACAGTTTGGTGAGATTTGCAGTTGGTGAGTTTTGTTAGCTTGATATTCCGAACTGCGATATCACAGCTTGCAAAATCAACCGCAGTGGTTTGCTTGTTGATTTTTGTCTAAGAAAATCAAGCGTGATCTTTGGCGTTGGTGAGATTTGATTTTTCGATATTTTCCCAACACTGCGTTTCATCACTGAACCTGCTGGTTTCTGTATTTGAACTTAACATTAAGAATGTGTTATGAAAAAGTGTGCTTCATTGTTATGAGATTATAATGCTTGACGATAGATTATAATAGTGACTGCATTTGTTGCTTCTAAATATTTAGCTCCCGTTTGACAAGCAAATTGAGTGAGTCTAAACGTTTGCATTAGTCTTCATAATCCAAAAACGCATAGCTGTCTTATGTGAATACGAAATCAAGCTTTTGCTTGATATGCTTTTATAGGCAGTTCAGTCAAACTGCATTATCTATCATCATTCGATCTGCAATACCTCAAGAACAACGAATGAAAGCCAAAACAAACCACCAAGAACTGCCAAAAATTACAAATGAGAGAAGAGTAGGGTTAACTACCCCATTTCCGGCCTACTAAGCACAACCCGCAGTTAGTCTTTCTTAATCTAGTGCAGTAAAGCACCAAACGGAATGTTATTATTACTGACGGCTTGCAAATTTATTTACCTTTCCATACGTACCGTAAGATTTGATAAAGAGAAACCAATCGTTGAGATACTGTCAAAAGTCTAACACTGCTTCTTGACGCCAAACTCGGCCTACGGATTCTAAACTCGGTCTAACGCATTGAAACGCCATCGAAACGACAATGAATTCACTTCGGCCTATCGGAGGAAGATAAAAATTGATTCGGTCGGAGCGCTTCTTTTGTTTTTGAGAATAATGGGTCCAAACCTTCATACCACGCGTTCTCATTGACTTCGTTCGGTAGCTTATTAACTGAAGTATCGTACCAAGCGCATAATTGACTTGTTAACTCTGAAATCATGGATTTATTTGAAGTTTTCTGCTCGATAGACCCAAAATGGGCGATTAGACCGAAGTAGTTATCTACCCTACGGCAAATCTTTGTGGACTGATCTATTGTGGGGGCCTTTTTTCTCGATTTTTTAGCGAGAGAAGGATTGGGATGTGGAGTGTATGAATATTCCCAACAAACAATTTGAGTTGATCAACAGCTGATTAAGCTATTTTTTAGCCGAAGAAGCTTGGTTTTGCTTGAATAAGCTCTTATTCAATATTCAATGTTTGTTGGGTTGTAATGTATTACCATAGAGGTAACTCTAAGACTAGAAGGTCCCGAAGAAGCGTGCTCAACTTTTTGGCTCAGCTCTGAAACAATCTTCGGGGGATGCTTGGGACCAATAGGCTAGTCAAGTAGTGAGCCAATTCAAAATCGTTAGATTCCACCTGACCAGCTGTCACATGAATGAACGTGTTCATCCTCTCGCGGCCTAGCAGCACGTCAGCAAGCGAGCACGGTATTCGTCCTCATTCCGTTGCTGACCATCGAGTAGACAACGTGTGTGTGATTGCCGTGGCGTTCTGGGTGATTCTCACCCGGGTATTATCTAGACTTCCCCACAGGGCAAACGGTTCTAACGTTGGCCTACAGATCTAAAGATTGGGTCCATCGCTAAAAATTTCGTAATCTTCATTTTTCCTGAGAACAATACGTCATCCGGACAAAACAAACTTATATTTTTGATTGTTAGTGAAATAGCCCACCAAGTCCCACAACCCACCCTCCTAAACTTGTTAAGTGATTTATGATGAATCCTTGCTGAGTCCAAAGCACATTGGCTAGACACCCCCCCCCCCCCCTCTGATTTTTTTTCTAATAACTGTGCAAAATTTGGGGACGATTTCTTGTAACCCGGCTTTCCGCATTGCGTTTGAAATTTGTTTGGAAATTAGTATGGGAAAATCTACTTTTTTGCATTTTTATCCCTAGAGACCAAAATGTTGCTTAAATCGTGCATATAACCATGTACAAATATACTCCAGGAAGTGCTTTACAACATTGCAAAATGAAGTACGGTGCTAGAAAATCTCTAAAAAAAGTTATACCTGTTCAAATATTTATGGTTTGAATTAAATGCTACACGCAAACTAAAAATCTATTACAATAAATGTTAGTTCCGTTTCCTATCATCCTCTGTTCATGAACATCGCAACGAATGTTAGAAATTGACCATGCAGGCGATGTAATGGTTTTTATCTTCTTTATTTCGTGTTCTACCTGCGCTTTTGACTATACCAGTAAGCTTGTAGAACGACGCACATTGTAGAACATTGCAGAACGACGCACACACTTGCCTCGAATCTCTCCAGCAGAAAAAGCATACGAAATCGAGTAAGGGAGAAAATGAACGCTTCATGTTTGGTTTAAGGCTATCCATATTCAGAAGCATGGAGAGAGCAGGGGAGAAAACACAGGTCTGATAATCGTTCGTGGTTCAAGTCCAGTCGGCAATCTGTTTCCTGATTTTTTCGGCATAACTACGGACGAAGAGACAAGTTTATGTTGGTGCAGCTCCACTTGGTTATTGAAGTGAGATCATTCCTTTTTATTTATTTATACAGTAACCCCTCCCTATCGTTAGGAAGTCAATTCAGCTTATCGTTTACCAAAACGAACCCTGCTGCAAACCCTACCCTCTTATCCAACATCCCAGTGATTCCCCGTGGAAGTGCAGAGGATTTCTCGGCTTCCATCAAAGCGAGTGTCACGGTAAAACATTCTTCCCTTTCCTTTCTTGACCTGCGTTCGGGCGCGGCCAGCGCTGGTATTGTCTAGTTTGAGATCACCAGTTTTTACACATTGAGGATGATTTCTAGCCCCAAGCATCGTCTATTGGTTCTCTGTGTAAGTACAGCTGATCTGGCAATAACAGAGTAGCAACCGTGGGCGGTCAATCATGCTCATGCTCATGCTCAAAACACAGAAGCACTCCTACGTCAAAACCTAAAACAGGAGAAAACGAAAACTGTCTTCACGAGTTTCTTCTCAGACACAGGTACAATCGGATTTCACGTGTTGGGCTTTCTTTAAGTGGACAGCGTTTTAGTATAGTCGCTATATTCATAGTCTGGTGGATAGAATTCCGATCTATCAAAAAGCAGAACCAATTCAATATACCAACAATTGAACAGGCAAGGGAAATGGATGTAATGTCGGTCTAAATGTCCCTAATTTGGGCCCATACATAAATTCAGCAATCGACTAAATTTTCAATAGTGACACAAAAATATCGATTAGTACGGTCTCAATGACGCGTTCATCTAGATAAAATTGATAAATAGCAGATTTTTAGCGATGGACCCAATCTTAGGTCCATAGGCCAACATTAGAGCCATTTCCCCTACTATCAACTTTTTTAAACAAAACGTTGATTATTCTTTCCTCGCTTATCGAACGCAAATTACCAGCATCATCGGATAGTGGAAACTTTCCTCATCCCAAAGATGGTGTTAGTTTGCGTAGGCG